TATATATTATTATAAATATGTATATATGAAAAATATATAAAAAATACCATGTGGGTATTCAAATAAAAGGTCTTGATGAGTATATCATCGGGATGAGCTTATATCTTTGAAAATGTCAATAATTAAGAAATTACCTAGTATTTTATGAAATATTGACAATTTTAAAGATATAAGGTTATCCTGATGTTACACACATTGAGACCTTTTATTTGAGTATCCACATCAATTTTTCATATATTTTGTATATTTATATATATTTATGTATATTATATATATGAAAAATATATAAAAATTCATGTGGGTACTCAAATGAAAGCTCTTAATAAGTATAACATCAGAATGAGCTTATATTATCAAAATATATGTTATATACATGTATATATGAAAAATATATCAAAAATGTATGTAGGTACTCAAATGAAAGCCCTTGATAAGTGTAACATCGGGATGAGCTTATATCTTTAAAAATGTCATTATTTAAAAGAGTACAGTGTAATTTAACAAAAGTCATTACTTAATCTATATTATTCAACAGTGTAACTTTGTTTACATAATTAAGAAATGACCTTGCACCTTGTGAACTATTGACATTTTTAAAGATATATGCTCACCCAGACATTACACTCGTCGAGACCTTTTATTTGAATACCCACATCAATTTTTCATATATTTCATATATTTATATATATTATATATATGTATATATGAAAAATATATCAAAAATGCATGTGGGTACTCAAATGAAAGCTCTTGATGAGTGTAACATCGAAATGAGCTTATATCTTTAAAAATGTCAATAATTAAGAAATTACTTTGTATCTTGTTAAATATTGACATTTTTAAAGATATATGCTGACCCTGACATTACACTCATCAAGACCTTTCATTTGAGTACCCACATCAATTTTTCATATATTTCATATATTTATATATATTATATATATGTATTTATGAAAAATATATCAAAAATGCATGTGGGTACTCAAATGAAAGCTCTTGAAGAGTACAACATCGGGATGAGCTTATATCTTCAAAATATATATTATATATATGTATATATGAAAAATATATCAAAAATGCATGTGGGTACTCAAATGAAAGCTCTTGATGAGTGTAACACCAGGATGAGCTTATATCTTTAAAAATGTCAATATTTAAGTAAGTACAGTGTAATTTTTAACAAAAGTCATTACTTAATTTATTTTATCAAAAATTTGAGTTTATAATTATGATTATTTACGGTGATGTAAAAATGAGGGTGCTATTCTGTTTTTATTTTTACTGAAGAACAAGATTATGATAATAATTACCATTTAGAATAAATTAATTCTAAAATACAAGTTTTTATTTAAAATATAATTCTTTTGTGGTTATGTATAAACAAACTATCAACTGTATTATTCATTTATTCAAACCTTTTGGTTTTATTTTATGGTAAAAATAAATAAATAAATCAAATTATAAATAAAATTTCTTTATTTACTATTAAAAATTCATTTACTAGCGCGCTAAAAAACGCCTTCATTACAATTTATTTTTACAAATTTTTTTTTTCTTCATTCATTTTTATTTATACAAATATTTATTATTAAAATACTACTTAAATAATTTCCACGATTACAAATTCAGTTCGTTCGTGGATTACAAAAATAAGCGACTCGGTACTCATGCGCACAATTGATACAATAAAATACTATACAGACTTGTTTCTTAATTAATAATTAATAATAGTAATATTATTCATTAATTATATTAATAATAATAATAAAAATAATAATAATAATAAATATACCAAAGTCGCATCCTTTTGATTAATAAATCAATTATTTACACTATTAACCTAATTATTTACAGAGTCATTGTTTACATTTAATCATAGAAACAATTTACAATTCAATAATTAATTAATTATTCATTATTAATTATCACGTTGAACATAATGAGCAGTCTTCGTACTATAAATATCTTAATTTATAAAAAAAAAGTATTTTTCTTCCTAGTTAATTTTTTTTTTTAATAAAGAAACTGGTTAAATTTTTATAGAGTTAACTTAACCTCAATTGATACAAAGATTTTTTTTTTTTAATTAATTAATTATCAATAATTACAAAAATTTTATTGATAAAAATATTAATTAAAATTTTAATAACTTTCTAAAGAAATTTTTTTAAAATTTTTAAATAAAAGTTATCAAAAAGTACAGAAATGGTTCATAGATGGCGCCACTAATATTTTCTTATTAAGAATACAAGTTCCAGGAACAAAGTTAGTTTCCAGTTTTAATTTTTTTTTTTATAAAAATACTTAATAATACTTTAAGTTAATTAATTTTTTTTCAGTAAAAAAATTGATATTTTTGTTGTAAAATTTTAATTGAGTAAACTTAACCTCAATTGAAACAAAGAATATTTTGTTTTTTAATTAATTAATTATCAATAATTACAAAAATTTTATTGATAAAAATATTAATTAAAATTTTAATAACTTTCTAAAGAAATTTTTTTAAAATTTTTAAATAAAAGTTATCAAAAAGTACAGAAATGGTTCATAGATGGCGCCACTAATATTTTCTTATTAAGAATACAAGTTCCAGGAACAAAGTTAGTTTCCAGTTTTAATTTTTTTTTTTATAAAAATACTTAATAATACTTTAAGTTAATTAATTTTTTTTCAGTAAAAAAATTGATATTTTTGTTGTAAAATTTTAATTGAGTAAACTTAACCTCAATTGAAACAATGAATATTTTGTTTATTTTATTTTTTAATTAATAAATTATCAATAATTGCAGATATTGATAATAAATATTAATCAAAATTTAGAAAAAATTTCTAAAGAAATTTTTTAAACATTTAAAAATTTTTAAACAAAAAGTTACTAATACAAAGAAGAAATGGAACATAGATGGCGCCACTAGTATTTTCTTACAAGTTCCAGGAACAAAGTTAGTTTCCAGTTTTAATTTTTTTTTTTATAAAAATACTTAATAATACTTTAAGTTAATTAATTTTTTTTCAGTAAAAAAATTGATATTTTTGTTGTAAAATTTTAATTGAGTAAACTTAACCTCAATTGAAACAAAGAATATTTTGTTTTTTAATTAATTAATTATCAATAACTGCAAAAATTTATTGATAAATATTAATCAAAATTTTAATAACTTTCTAAAGAAATTTTTTAAGAATTTAAAAATTTTTAACCAAACAATTTGTTCCATAAAAGTTACTAATACAAGGAAGAAATGGAACATAGATGGCGCTACCAATATTTTCCTGCACTATTTATTTCTTCAGTGAAAAAAATGATATTCTTCTTGTTGAATCTCAATAAAGTAAACTTAACCTCAATTTATACAAAGAATATTTTATTTCATTTTTTTTTATTAATTAACTGTCAATATTTTTTGGAGATAAATATTAACAAAAATTTTGATAACTGAAGAAATTTTTTAAACATTTCAAAATTTTTAAACAAACACTTTTTTAAAAAGTTGTGGAACATAGATGGCGCTACTAATATTTTCCCCACACTATTTATTTCTTCATTAAAAAAACTTATTTTTCTTGTAAAATCTCAGAGTAAACTTAACCTCAATTGAAACAATGAATATTTTGTTTATTTTATTTTTTAATTAATAAATTAAAAAATAATTGCAAAATTTTTTGATAATAAATATTAACCAACACTTTAAACATTAAAAAATTTTTTACATAAAATACTTTGTATTCTAGTTAATTTATTTCTTTAGTTAAAAAACTGATTTTCTTCTTGTAAAATTTCAATAGAGTAAACCTAACCTCAATTGATACGAAGAATATTTTATTTCATTTTTTAATTAATAAATTAAAAACTGCAAAAATTTTTAAACATACAATTTGTTCCATAAAATTTACCAACAGGAAGAAATAGAACATAGATGGCGCCACTAATATTTTCCTACGCCATAAAAGTACTCATTAATACTTTGTATTCTAGTTAATACATTTCTTCAGCAAAGAAATCAATCTTTTTTTAAAATCTCAGCGTGAACCTAACCTCGATTTTCACAAAGAATATTTTGTTCCATTTTTTAATTAATAAATTAATAATCACAAAAATTAGTAAATATTAATTAACACTTCAAAAATTCTCAAAGAAATGTCACACAGATGGCGCCACTACTATTTTCCTCCAAGTTCCAGGAACAAGATACTCCCTCCAGTTTCTTTTTTACAAAACCCTAATACTCAACCTTCTAAAAAGAAGGAACCTAACCCTTCAAATCCTCAATTCACTATCAACCACAGGTAAGTTCCTCGGATTTTGCGCCCTCTGTGGAGTAGGAGGAACAAGCGGGCTAATACTGGGACTCCTAGTGGCCAGCGGCGACAATGACGGCGAAAAACTGGGACTTAGCGCCGCGGAGGGGAAAGTAGAAGTGTCATGGCTGATCGGGCTCCTGGGCAGCATGGCCCTGGCCAAAGCCGGCGCTGCGATCGACCTAGGCGCCACAGAGGTCAATAACGGCGGAGGCGGAGCCTTGTGCTGCTGCACCTTGTGCCTGTTCCCGGAACTCTGAACACTAGCGTCATCTTTGAGCCTGGCTATCTCACTAAAAACATGCGCTAGGGGCTGATATTGAGGCCCCCAATCTAAAAGATAGTCCCAATTGTAAGACCCAGTGAGTTCCTCTTCACTATGAACAATGGAACTCAAGGAACCGTTCATAGATGGCCCTCCCGGAACCTCCAATTCCGAAGTGGGCCTCCTGGATTCTCCAATCTTCCCGTAAATAAGCGTAGCGATCTCCGCTTCAGTGACCGCTTCATCTTCAAAAAGATGAATGCTGTCCAGTGGGAGGGCTTCTGGAGGCCTCCTAGCGTGGGAGTGGGAGTTCGCAGATGGCGCATCGACAATTCCTAACCTGGCAAGATACTCCTGAGTGTTATGAACAGAAAGGTCACTTGCAGAGTCAGGAGCCTGCCCCTCATTGATCATCCTGATCTCCTCATCTTCTCCATCATCCTCCGCAGAACCCCTCCCAGAGGAACCTGATTGGTCACTCCCAGAAATCTCGGAGGTGGCTTGCTGGCCAATAGACTGCCCCGAGGTTCCATAGGGCGGGATTTCGTCATACTTGGGCGGAGCGAACTGACACGCCCCTTGACTATTAGGAACACTAGCCGCAGCGACCCCTCTAATGGGAATTGTATCGAACGCAGTGGGATCTACGTAACTATTCGACGCAGTGGCGCCACCGTCGCCATTCAAGCCAGGTTTGGCACTCGGCTTTTTGTGCTTTCTATTCTTAAGATGGACGAACAAGAAGAACCCTCCAAACCCGGCAATTAGGAGAACTAGCGCTATTAGGAGGCCTAGCGCCCAATCCGCAAGTCCGTTAGATGTCGCCACTGCCATGTTCGCGCCCAAATTCGAAGGGTAGTTCGTAGAGAAGAGGCTGTTGGACTCATCATCAATAATTCTGACCTCCACGACGGTCATGTTGGACAGAGAGCGCTGCCTACCGGAACTGGCGCTAACTACAAGCCTGGAAGACTCCTCGGAGTCATAATGCAGCTTCTTTTTGACTATCAGCGCCCCCGTGGTGCGGTTTAGCTTGAAGTAAGGGTGCTGGGAGGTTAATTGGTACACTACCCGGCCGTCGGGGCCTTTGTCGCGGTCTGTGGCGGTCACATGACCAACTACGGTTCCAGGAACCGTTTGCAAACCGTTCCGCAGGTCGAAGCGGTACATCCGTTCTGTAAATTGGGGGTAAAATTCGTCTCTGGAGTCTATTTCTACCCTAACCTTCACAGCTGCGGTTCTGCCACCTGTATCAGTGGCTCTTAAGGTAAAGGCGTAGCGGTTCCGCTGTTCGTAGTCGAAGATGGCGCCAGTGGTCACTGTTCCGGTCAAAGGGTTCACGTTAAAGAGCTTCCAGGAGTCGTCTATGTCAGTAAATCCAGAAGCGGCTGCGGAAATTATGGAGTAATTTACGGTTCCGAAAATTCCGCGGTCGAGATCCGAAGCTCTGGCGGAGAACACTCGGGTTCCGACGGGTTCATTTTCGCCGACAAATTCGAGGTACTCGTGCACTGGGAACTTGGGGGAGTTGTCGTTCACGTCGGAGATGTGGATGCGCACCCTGGCGAGGGAACACAGTGGAACGGGGTCGCTGTCGCAGGCCAGGATGACAAGGTGGTGCGTTTCGGGGGACAAATCGCAGTCTAGGGTTGAGTTGACGGTGATTAAACCGGTTGAGGGGTCGATTTGGAATAAATGGCGGTCGTTCCCGGAGGTTATGTTGTAGGTTATGGTTGATGATAAGGCGCCAGAGAGGTCGTTGTCGCTAGCTCGGATTGTGGTTAGGACGGTGCCGATTGGCGCGTCTTCTTTTATGGTCACTTCTTGTAGGTCTTCGGTGAAGTGCGGGTAGTTGTCGTTGGAGTCGTCGATTTGAATTGTTACCATTACTACGTCTTCGGTGGACAGGTTGGAGGAGTTTGAGGTTTTGGTTCCTAGGTAGATGTTGTATCTGGAATTTGAAAAAATTTTTATTAGATTTTTGGTATAGTTTGTTAACACAAAAAAATTTGTTGGTTCAAGAATTTTTGTTTTTAATATAGTTAAATTTTTATTTGGAAAATTGGAACTCTTGGAGATTGAAAAATTTATATGAAAATTTGTGTAGCAGACATTTTGTAATTTTATTAACAAATTTGATATAGAAAAAAAATTAATAGCAATTTTTTGGAGTTTTTTTTTGTTAAAAAATTTTAAAATTCAGTGAAATTCTTCATTTTTTTAAAAGAAAAATAAATATATTTAATAAAGTATTTTAAGAAATGACCTTGTATCTTTTAAACTATTGACATTTTTAAAGATATAAGCTTATCCCGTAGTTACACTCATCAAGACCTTTCATTTGAGTACCCACATCAATTTTTCATATATTTTATATATTTATGTATATTATATATATGTATATATGAAAAATATATAAAAAATGCATGTGGGTACTCAAATGAAAGCTCTTGATAAGTACAATATCAAGATGAGCTTATATCTTTAAAAATGTCAATATTTAAGAAAGTACAGTGCAATTTAACATAAGTCATTATTTATTAAATGAAACAAAAAAATAGTCACGTGACTGCTCACTTAAATATCATTTTTTTTATGTTAAATTTTTAATAAATTTTTTCATCTGAAAAAATTCTTTTAAAGAAATAAAAAATTTTTTTTTATGTAAAAAAAAATTAATAAAGACTAACCTGTCTTTAGTTTCACGGTCCAAATTTTTGCTAATAATCAATCTGCCACGTGAAATTTCAAAAACATCAGTGCCTTCTTGAGACACAATGCTTCCATCTAGGAGCCCCAGATCAGCCAACTTAAGAAGACTAGTCCCCCGAGTGGCGTTCTCGCTGACGCTGATCTTGAATTCCCTGTTCGAAGAAGAGTTCCTGAGTCCGCTCAACCTGATGATCACCGAGCAGGTTGAGGAGAGCGCCGGCTTCCCGGAGTCCTGTGCGACGACTATCAACTCAATCTCCTTGGGCACAGGGCGCGACAGTGCGGTTCTGTTGGCAGTTATCACTCCGGTCTCGGAGTTTATACTGAAGCCTTTTACGGGACTGAGAAGGTGGTAGTGAACCACGTTGTTGGCTTCCAGGAGATCCTCGTCTGTCGCGTTTACTGCCAGTAATTCACGTACTTCACCTCGGCCTTCTGAAATCGTAAAATTCATCGATTAGTTACGAGGTATTTGTAAGATTAAAATGCCGAGTTATTTATATTTTATATGGGTTTATAAATTCTGGATTTATAAGAGATTGTAAATATGTAGAGGAGATAATAGAGATAAATTTTAGGTTTATTTTTAGGCTAGCTGTTTAGAAAACAGCCCGATAACTTGGCATTGGCATTAATGCTTGGATTTTTCTGTGATGTTATTTTTGGCTGGATTTTTGATAAATTATTTTTTCAAAAATTTATATTATTACACGGAAAAAAGTAAACTGTAATAAATAACAGTCGATTTATAATAAGTATACACGGAGAAAATTTTATAGTAGAGTTTATTATCTAGTTATGTTAAAATTCGAACAAAAACAGTTTCACTGTAAAAAAATCGCGCCAAGTCCACGTTCATAAGACTATTAAGAAAAAAAAATTAGTTTTTTTCTTTACAAAAAGATATAAAATAAAAAAATTAAAAAACCCAAGTAACCGATATGATTGTTTATGATTTACGGAAATTAAAAAAAATTTTGTTGTAAATTTAAAAATAAAAAAAAAAATTTTGGAACGTACTTGGTGTGCGCGGTTGCAAAATATTTTACTTTTAACTAAATTCGAAAAATCTATTTACTAGGACTTTAAAAAAAATTGAAATACACAATATGACGCATACCAATTTTCATCAACCGATCTTGATGAAAATTGGTACACATATTCTTTGAGTAATTACCTTGAACGAGTTCGAAGATGAAAAAAATCGGTCAATTAGTTTAGAAATGGCGGCCATTTAAAATTTTCAAAATAGTGAAAATCACATTTTCGGTCACTTCATTGATGTATAACTTTTTATTGAAAAGAGATACCTAATTTTTGAAAAAATCATATGATAGTTATTCATATCACCGCGAATCTACTAGACATAACGATTGATCCTTTATTATTAAAAAATCATATATAGATTTTGCTCATCTTTGAACTAGTCCAAGATAATTATCCAAATAGTAAATACACCAAGAAAACTTTTACAGAACTTCTCTATTGTAATTAATTTAAAAATTTGGTTTTCAACAAATTATAATAGC